CAAATTTCTTACTTTCTCACCATGATGGCTATTAAAACCATGGACAATTCTATATATGGAGCTCTTAGCACCGTGTGAAGATTAGGATTAAGGGAAAGCATGCAGAAGCAAAGTTTGGAGCAGTTTCCCAAGAAGTGGGTCCAAGTGCTACTTGGACCTGTTTTAGAAGAAAAAATATGTCAGTGGTAGACACACACTTTGCATGCTGGGTAGAATGCCTGACATCTCTGATTAAAAGGACTAGGTAGTGGGTGAAGGAAAAATGGAGATTCTGGAAAGCTGCTGCCATCAGAGTTGACAGTGCTGAGGTGGGTGGAAAAATAATTAGTACTAGGATAAGGTAATTCCCTTGATTGCACTGAGGTAGCCCATGATGTTGTGAATCATTAAACAGTTTAGATACAACTTAAATATATATGTTGACACGATGTTCTGCAACCAAGTTGCGGTTCTTTTCTCTTCCCCCCTTTTTTTCTTCTTCAAATGCACAATTTGAACTGTAAAATCTATCTCTGCCTTCTGCTGTTTTAAAGCTAGACTAGAAACACATGTAAGTAGGACATTAATTAGAGGAATGCCACAAGTGGGATTTCTGTGACTAATGAAGTTGGAGCAAGAAGCAGAGACTCTCTCAGGCACGCACGCACACACACTTTTTCTTCCTTAGTGCATTATTTGTGTGGATTTCAGTGTCCAATAAGTATTGGCGTAGAACCATCTTTGCCAGTCTGTTGAACAACAGCTATATTAATTCTTAATATGCATGCAGGTTGGGAATTAAGAGAACCCCATACATCTGGAGATGATCAAGTTGCAGGGGATTGGCATAAAAAATTGAGATGATTATATTTGGTTAACTGTGGTGAAGATCAAATACTGATTTTATATATTTGGGTAACACATGGTCATCCATTAAATGCACAAGAAACATTACTGATATGAAAGCATGTTGACTAAAAAGGATTGTGTTTCTTATTTCTTATTTCCTTCAGCTTACCAACCTTCTATTCAAATGCTTTTGGAATCTAGTACATTTCCTCTTACTTTGTTTTGTTTTAGCTTTCATGTTTTTGTTTCTTTCTGTATTGCCTAGAGAATCTGAGAAATTGGGTGGCAATATAAATATCTTAAATATATTTTCTTCATAATTATTTTCCAGCTGTAACAGCTGTTGCATCTTTGTCTCAAAAACCTGAGAGAAGTGAAATGAATATATTGTTTATTGTTTCAGTTCTGTTATTTCTAAGTTTTGCACTGAGTTAGAATATTGTGTGAAAGAACATCTTAATAAATATAGGAATAACTGAATAGAAGTGTCAACTAGTGGAAAGATAGTCCTCTGAATTTCTAGTTTGATGCTGATTGAAAACATAAGAAGGACTCTTGAGTTATGGTTGAACTATGAGTCAAAACATGATCATTTCAGTTTCCCTTGATATAATTATTTTTAAATCATTAATGATCTTGTAAACTAATCCAACAGCAGCCTTTGTGTGGGGCACATATGGGGCACTCCAACGGAAGAATCATGAGAATAAATATTTTCAGAGATATGGACTAGAGTTCATCTACCACTGTCTAAATTCAATCATATGTTCTAAGTTTAAATAATTAGAGAAGCTCTCTGTGGGATTTGCTTATGAAAACATCTCTCTGCAGGAGCAGGGCATGAGACCTTTTTATTTTATAAACTACAAAGTTCTGGAATCTTTCAAGGTACAGCTTGATTTTCATTTGAAACGACATGAGTAGTATGAAGAGTAGAATTACAAATTGTTCAGTTGTTCATTGCAATATTCTAGCTAGTTGGATTTTAAAAAGCATGAAAGAAATGCAATTTAAACTTGCAAGTATTAGTGGAAACTAGAGAGGCACAGTTCTGTTTACGTAAAGGGGATTTTTGTCCTTTCTCCTGGAGAACCTGTTATGTGTTGGCAGTCCGCCAGAATAGCTGGTAACCTGGCTATTTTCTGGGGATTGATATAAGATGGGTTCCCACCCTGCAGAATGAATTTTATTGTGGAAAATGATATTCTTCAATGTGATGTGGGTGGAGATCATTATGATTATTTGCATTTATATTATGTTGTTACATTTAAAAAAAAATACTATCAATTTGGAATGTACCTTACTTAGAGTCATTTGCAATTGAATCCTAAACAAATAATAATTAAATCTTATGGGGGTTTAGAAAGTCTTGTCATATTTGCAGAAATTAATGAAATTCTGAATTTTCATGGATCTTTCCTGGTGTCTGCCTTCTGGCATGACATGATCAAAGCATTAATTATTAAAATTGTAGTTTTAATGTATGGAATTATTTGTGAGAAAATCCCATTCATCTCATTTTCTTTGACTCTTAACTTGAGAAATACCAAAAAATCTGCAAATGTAATCTCTATAGTAAGTTCTGTGCTTGCTTGATGTTCATTTTTAAGGTAAACTTATTTTTATTTCAGAATATATATTTGTTTTACATAATACTTCATAATAATTAAAGATTTTCAGATTGTCACACTTTGAAATTGTGGCACTGTTTTAAAACAAAAGTAGGAAAATCGATGTAGAATTATGACCTGTGACATTATGTTTATTTCAGATTAGTCTCTGATTCTCCTTATCTGGCTTTCTACTTTTTCTGACTGTTTGGAATGGGGATCTTCTTTTTCCAGTCTCAGACTTTCTATGATGTAAGTTTATTTCCAGTACTGTCAAATCTTGGGATTAGGACTTGGCTATGTTGCTGATCCAATAAAGAAGACGTGCACATTTACCATATAAATAAAGTAGTGGTATGCTAAAACCCTTAGACCATTATCTCCATTGCTGTCAGATCTTACTGGCAGTGACTCTGAATTCAAAGTTCAGTCAGCCTTCTCCAATCTGGTGCCTCCCAGTAGTGTTGGCAGTACAAGTCATAGAACTCCCAGCCAGTTTTGTTAGTGGGAACATTTGGATGGCTTTAGGTTGGAAAATTTCAGTCCAAGACGTTGGTATGTCTTTTGCAGCACTACAGCACTGATGATCAGTTGTTCTTTAATTAGTCCAGAATGTTCTAGCTGACAGTAATTAAAAATGACATGTGATAAGTATTTTTAAAAATATTTTTACATTGGTCTCCCCCATCCTGGGTTCCCTCCAGATGTGTGGACCAGCTCCCAGAATTTTCAACAGTGGCTATGTGGTTGGGGAATTCTGGATATAAAAATCAATACATCTGGACAGTGCCCAAGATTGAGAAGGCTGTTTTAGATTATGCATATATGTATGGTTACAGTAAATATATATACTGTTTGGGTACAGTCAAGATTTTTGACTTTACAATGCTGATCTGTTCATTAGCTTGGTATTTAGCTTTGTAAAACAAAGGTTGAGGACAATATTTATTGCATAAAAGCAAAGTAGTTGTATATACTTATCTGTCTATAGTTCAGAACGGGGAGTGGCAGTATAGCATTCATGTGTTTCTCACAAAATGATACTTGCAGCCCTTCCAATTACATTATAATTTCTAAAATTAAATATATCAAAATCTCATAAGATCACCAAATCTTGCAGGATTTGACAAGTTTGCATATCAACAATGAAATCTCATGAAGTCTCAAAGTATTATGATTAACAATTTACTTCCAATTTTGATCAAATTACCAAAATCTCATGCAGTTTGGTGATACTGTGATGTTTTAGCCAATTTGGTCAGGGTAGCTGGGAGTTTATATGTGAGATCAAGTAACGGTGCTGAAGGCCTGAAAAAAACTACAGATACGTTCAAATTAAGGCTAAAGTAGTCCCCCAAAATTTTTTAATTCTAAATATTTGAAGTCACAAGTTAAGCAAATGCTTTGGAAAGCACATGTTATGATCTCAGGACATGTAGTTGTCTAGCTGGTCCAACAGGACTAGATGACTCTTGAAATTTGGAATTCACATACTTTGGGCCCTATAAACCCAAGAGCTCCCTTGAGTCTCCATCTTTTTTCTCTTCAAGAGGATGAGTGATGGCTATAGTCAAGTCTAACTCATCTTTCCAGTCGTTAAACGTGAATGGAGATAATATCTCTGCCTACCAGTCTTTCTCATATGCTGTTGTACTTTTGCACTAGTCTGTTCCCAACATCCCCAGACAGTGAGATGTTCAAGGTTGCTAGAGGTTGGCTTCTTTTGGGGAAGGAGTTCAGTGGAGACTTTTATAGGATGGAGAAAAAATTCAAAATAATCTTGCAGCAAAGAGAAGATGCTCCATAGAGGAATCTCAGACGTGCATCCAGTACATGTATATCTAAGGTATTTTCAGCTTTTAGCTAGCTGCTTCTCTGTATCTCAGTGTCTGTTACAACTGCTTCTGTGTTACTTTTCCTTCCTGTCTCTACATGCCTAAGTGTCAGTACATAGACATGAACACAGAACAATCCTTTTCTTTTAGTGGAGGGGGGTTATACTATATTTGCTATATTGATTTAGAGCATTCCATTCAGCTCCAATAAGGAAATACTCTTAGATTCTTCCTACCCTCCATTCATTATAAAGGTAACCTGATGCCTTGAGCCAGTATGGCCGATGACAAGAGATTGTTGGAACTGCAGTCTAACATATCAGGTGGGAACCACATCTCTTAACCTTTATCCTGTGAACAAAAGATATGGCTGATTGCATTTATAGCAGTAATTTGATTGTTAAATGGAAAGAAATGCATCTGTGTTTCAGAAGGATGAACAGTTAACCTGCTGTGAATCACCACTGGAAATTCTTTTGCTGTTGTAGTAAACTGGGAAGATGGGTTAGAGTTTAGTACAGCTTTCCTTAACCTGGGTGCCCTCCAGTTGTGTGTCCTGATAGATTTTTCAGGTGTTTATTTAGCTTCACTGAATTTGCTCAACTTGCTTGCTCAGTAAACCTGGCACTCTGCCTCTGATTTGATGTTAGGAACTAAAGCAGCCATATTTCTTCTGCATTGGATTATGAGATAAATAGTTAACCTTTCCCTGTTGTTATTTCAACAGCTGCACTGCAGGCACTGAAAAGAAAAAAAAGGTATGAGAAACAGTTGAGCCAAATTGATGGGACTCTTTCCACCATTGAATTCCAGCGTGAGGCACTTGAAAATTCCTACGCAAATACAGAAGTGTTCAAGAATATGGGCTATGCTGCTCAGGCCATGAAAAAAGTACATGAAAACATGTAAGTGGAAAATGTTGTCAAAAATCCACAGAAAATAACTTAACTCTTACACTTAAACTTGCTTGATGTGTTTATGCCTTTCTTGCATAAGAATCAATCATGCTCCATCTTTTAATTTTTTAATTTATATTTATTTATTTATATATCAAATTTTTTACTGCCCATCTTGTTAAAAAGGTGGTTTACAGAAAAGATAAAATCAGTTAAAATGAATATAAAAGCAGTCTTAAATAAATAATAAATAATTCCCAAGAAATTGGAATTAGCAAGTAGCTCAGGGAGCATCATCATGGCACCAGCCACCCCCATGATTGTTCAGAGCTCTTATCACTCCATGCAAGCTGGCAGAGCCAGGTCTTTAGTCCTTTCCAGAAAGCTGGGAGGGTAGGGGCCCCCCGCACCTCTGGGGGCAGAATATTCCAAAGGATGGGAAAACAGCAGAGAAGGCTCTCCTCCTGGGCCTGCCAGCCGACATTCTCCTGCTGATGGGGTCCATAACATGCCCTCTCTGCCTGACTGGGTGGGATTGGTTGATGTGATGGGGGTGAGATGGTCCCTCAGGTAACATGGACCCATGCCATGTAGGGCTTTAAAGGTAATAACCAACACCTTGAATTGGACCCAGAAGCAAGCTGGCACCCACTGCAGCTCCTGCAGTAAAGGATATGAGTCATCCTTGAGGCACCCAAGATTGTCCATGTGGCCGCATTTTGAACCAGCCGTAGCTTCTGGATACTCTTCAAGGATAACCCCATGTAGAGCGAATTGCAGTAGTCTAACCAAGAGATGACCAGGGTGTGAGTGACTGACCAGAGAGCCTCCTGATCCAGGAAAGGGCGTAACTGGTGCACCACATGAAGGTGGGCAAAGGCCCTCCTGGGCACAACTGCCACCTGCTCCTTGAGTAGGAGTTGTGAGTCCAGGAGGACCCCCAGATTACACACTGGGTCTGTCTAGGACAGACCCACCCCATCCAAAAGCAAAGTTGGTAAATCCTTGGATAGAGAGGGGCCTCCAATCCACAGCTATTCCATCTTACCAGGGTTCAGCTGAAGCCTGTTGCACCCCATTCAGACCCCCACAGCCTCCAAGCACCACAAAAGGGTCACTCAAGTCACCCAGGATGGAGATGTATAAGTGTGTATCATCTGCATATTGATGATAACTCATCCCATGGTGGCGGATGATCTTACCCAGTGGTTTCATGTAGATGTTAAAAAGGAGTGGAGAGAGTACCGAACCCTGCAGCACCCCACAGTGGAAGGACCATGGGCTGGACCTCTAGCTCCCAATCAACATTGATTGGGATCAACCTTGGAGGAAGGAAGGGAAACAGTGCAAAACTCTGCCACCCACTCACAGTTCCCTAAGTCAACCCAAAAGGATACCCTGGTTGATGGTATTGAAAGCCACTGAGAAGTCAAGAAGAGCAAGGATGGATGCACTACCCCCATCCTGCTCCTGCCAGAGATCATCCATGAGTGTGACCAATGCCATTTCTGTCCCGAATCCGGGTCTGAAACCTGGCTGAAAGGGTCCAGATAATGTGTTTCCTCCAGGATCCTCTGGAGTTGTAACACCACCACCTTCTCAACCACCTTCCTTAGAAAGGAGAGGTGGGAGACTGGGTGAAAATTGTCCAATATGGTGAGATCCAGTGATGGTTTCTTGAGGAGGGGATGCATCAGCACTTCTTTAAAGGCAGCTGGGAACACTCCCTCCCTCAAGGATGAATTCACCATCGCCTGGACCCAGCCACATGTCACTTCCCGAGTGGCCTTAACCAGCCAGGAGGCACATGGATCTAGTTGATGTGGCATTGACCCTGTCCACTTCCTTGGATTCAACAGGATCAAACTGTTAACAGGGTAAGTCCATACCCTGGGCATCTCTACAGACCATGTCCCATGCTTGGCATCCAACTGGGACTGGATCTGAGTGATTTTGTCCTCCAGATGCTCAGAATGTGCGGCCCTGTAAATTGGCTACTGTGGGCCCCCTTTCACAAAAGGGATTATGGCAAGTTTTGTCTTCAGGTATGGATGAAGTTACCAGGATTTTAATTATACATTATATCTAAGATTAAATCCTTTTTTTTGGATTTACCTGTACAGCAGCAGCTCAATGTGGCCTGAGCCAGAGATCATTGCAAGCTGCACACTTAGTTTCAACTGAGATTTCTGCACATGCTCTACCAATAGGCATCTTTTTTCCTTTTATCTTGAGTTATATTATAACTTCAAATTGAGTTGAAGATGCATATATCTCAAATCTGAGAATTCTTCTAGGCGATAATTGCTAAGAATTCTGGGAGTTGAAGTCTGTAAATCTGGAAGGTACACATTCTGGAGAAATAGAATCTTCCAGAAATCTTCAGAATGTTTGGTTCCTTCTCTGGACCTTGCCAGTTCAGCCATTCCAAAAATAGTATGGGGATTTTCCAGAAGTTAATCTTCTGAACCAGAAATGTTTCATGGTGTTCTGGGCATGAAACAGGATTGTTTTGGGGCTTGACCATGTCCAGAACACCATGTATAGGTTCCCATTTAGAGATTTAATCTCCAAAATGCAAACTAGAGCTGCTTGGAAACTAACTGGGATTGCTCCTTATGTATATATCTATTTTGCTTAATTAATATTTCTATTTACTTTTTATAAGCATGATTCAAGGGCTTGTTTTTAAAGCCCTTGCAGAATTTGGGGGTTGAATATATGAAGGAATGTTGCCTCCACATTAACCTTATCACAGATTAAATTTGTCTTCGACAGCCCTTTGAATACACTAATAATCCAAGATAATGGCTTATAAAGAGTGGAAGTTTACTAATTATGATGCCTTATCTTATTGAATTGTTTCATTAAAGTGTATGGCCTAATATTATATCTTTTCTGTTTTCCCAGGCTTTCAACTTCCTCCCCAAAATTAAACCTCTATTTTGTTGCTGTTTTTTGTTCTGATGATTATTGATTTTTATGGAATTTTTAGAATTTTATTGGAATCCACTAAGCCATTCTGTCTTGAAGCATGATATACAAATTTACTAAAGAATCCCTCCCTCCCTCCCTCCCTCCCTTAGGGACTTGGACAAAATTGATGAAATGATGCAAGATATCACTGAGCAACAAGATATTGCCCAAGAAATCACAGAGGCTCTTACAAGAAAAGTTGCTGATGACTTCGATGAGGTATGTTTTGACATTTAAGAACAAGAAATGGCTCTAACTTTAATATTATTGGTAATTTTACATTTGCTATAATTCTTGTCTTTCAAGTGCTTAACGTTTTCCCTTAAATGCACTTGAATTCTCAGATGATTGAAGAGATATTTGTTGAAATGGCAGAAAAATAGAGACTGGACTGTCCTAAATAAAGCATTCAGAACAGCATACAAATTGCCATGTCAAAACAATGCAAAAACATACCCCAATTTCTGACAAAGTTATTGGACTTCTGACATATTTGATGGAATCTACAATAGGAAGTAGAAATGTGTGGTACATTCCTGATTTTATTCCAGCTGGTCAGTGATGCCTTCTTCCAGGATACTCCATTGTTGTCTTCTGGCATTCAGAGAAGCTGTGTACCACAACATGCAAGGAGGGAGGATTATTACTGTCAAGCTACTTTATTTTTCTCTACCCCCATTTTCACCACACTTTGCACACCAGCTCTTTGAAGAGTGGGAAATTTTTCTGTCTTGATAAGCAAATCTATAGGTTGTGCATCAAGCCAGAAAATAGAAGCAGCTCACCATTTTGGCCCATGAGGAGGGTAATAAAAGGTGGACTGACAAGATAGTTCTTCTGCTCTTCTTCTGGTGATGAATAACTGTTGGCACAGCTAAAGAGGCCCTGTTCCATTCCCTCTTTTCCCAGTTTTGTTTTTGTCTTCATTAGGAACAAGTGCAGTGAGCATGCTCAGTCCACGTTGGGCTACTTGGAGTTGAATTACTACATCCACTAATCTAGTTTGAGTTGGGTCATTTTGTACCACTAAATGGAAGCAACTTTCAGTATATACCAGTAGCTTCTCTTTTTACAAAACCAGAAAGACTTGATTTTACAAAACCAAAACATATCTTGTCCTTCTTGAGTAATACAGTGAGCATGAAATGGAGCAACTTTAAAAAAAAACAAAACAAAAAAACACTTGTAGCCTTTTTTGTATCAACTATATTTCTGGTCAATATAATATAATTTTGATTTATTTGGTTTCATTCTTATCAACCAGTAGCTTCTTAAAATATTTGGTTGAGACCTCCAGTTAAATTTACTGGTCCTAAACAATATTATAGTCCGTTTCATCACCCATTTATGTAGGTCATTGGCGTGCTGAAAACCTAAAACAAACTTATAAAATTTCTTTTATAAAGTTTATAAAGGCAACCATACCTGGTTGGCTACAGTTGTGAGACTGTTGTAATCAGAGGTTCTTTTGACACTAGAGGTTGTTTATTGAAGTATAACCTGCTGATTTTTTAAATTTCAGGATGAACTTTTGGCAGAATTAGAGGAGCTAGAGCAGGAGGAACTCAATAATAAGATGACAAATGTCCATTTACCAAGTGTCCCAGCTACCCCATTGCCTTCTCATCCTGGTAAATTGTTTTCTTATCTATTATTAAAGTATGATATAGGAATATTGCGCAGAAAAGGAAAAATCACAATGTCTCTACCATTCAGATTAATTTTATCTTCCTTGAGGTTTCTCATCTATTGTCTAAAAGTGTAGAATTGTAGGCAGTGCTCTGTTTAGCTCTTTGGAATGATATTTTGTAAAAACCGAAGTAGCTGCAAGCAAAGTCTTCCCTAGATATGATGATTGACATGGCTACAGAAATTCCTCAGGAATGGCTGAATAAAAAAAAGCTTGCTCTGCAACTATGTGTAGTTGTTCTGTCTGGCTGCTTGTTTTCAAATGTGCATTTAGTGGTTTGCCACTTGATTCCACAATCGTTCCTGTTCTTGATTTGCGATGGTGGTTTGAAAATCTCCCTCACCAGTATTGTAAGCCATTTGATGGGACCATAGAACAGTTGGGATCCCATAGTTTCATTTCAAGCAGGGTGATTTTGCTGTATTGGTTGTCCAGTCATTTGGTATTATATTGGAGTAAGCCAAACAAGTTTGTGTACTCTGCCATACATGAAAAATTTCAATTTTCTAGAGACATTATTTTCAACTATAAATGGGTGGTAACATTCTGAAGAGTTGTAGCAATCAGCTAGCCTTGATAATAGAATAGAATCATATTTCCCATAACTGCTTTTCCTACTAGTAGGTTTGGCTCCTTCAGTTGCACAGAGAGAATAGTTGCATAGAGTGAGTATAGAAAGTGATGAGATCAGTGTGTAAAATCAGTATAAAAAAAGGTTGAATGGCAACCTCACTGTATATCCAGTTCCAGTTTATGTTTATATCTGACAGTGATAATTTCTGCCTCGCAGGAACATCAAATAGAAAAGGGCTTTAGAACACCACTGGGCTCTAGGACTCACAATATAAAATCACCAGCTGTAAAACTTAATTTAACAGTATATCTTTTGATTAAACTAGTGACTTAACTTCTATACTAATACTACAAATTGTATTTAACCTGTTGCAAAACCTGGTTGATGGTATGAATTTTTAAAGTGAAAAAATATTAAAATGCAATGGTGTAGCACACTACTAATAAGAACCCACATGTCATACACACACACTTTGTAGAATACTGCGACATATGGATGCAGCACCCTGAGTGGGTAGGAATATAGGTAGTCCTCACTTACCAATGGTAATTGGGACTGGGAACTCCATTGCTAAGCAATGTGGTCATAAGGAGTGATGTCACATGACTGCACCAGTCCCAGTTGCCATAATTAAGCAACTCCCACATGGTCGTGGTGTCCTGTGGTCACATGGTCACCATTTGCAACTTCCTGCCAGCTTTCCCATTGACTTTGCTTGTTGGAAGCCAGGAGTGAAGATCACAAATGGCGATCGCGTGACTATGAGATGCTGCAATGTTGTAATTGTGAGCCAGGTGCTGAACTCCTAGATCGCAATCATGTGACTGCAGAAGTGCTGCAATGGCCACAACTATGAGACCCTGTTGTAAGTACCCCTTGTTCAGCCATGTTGTAACTTTGAATGGTTGCTGAACGAGTGGATGTTAAGCAAGGACTACCTGTACGTGCATATACCTCCTCAGTGGGATGCAGGCAAAATATTTTGGCTTACAGAGTCTCAAGGTTAGAGATCCTCACTTGCACAGAATAGGGTGAACATGCTTGAGGTACAACTGGCCTTTGTACTTTTGGCCCTAAATGGTAAAAAAAAAAAAAAAAAAAAAGCATAAGGTAATGAATGAAATGAAATAAATAGATATGTTGTTTATGAACTAAGAGAAAGGAGGTCCTAATCTGCAGTATGGAACTGATGAATCCATGCAGGGAAGTGAATTTATAGCTTTAATTATGAATGAAAGGGCTAAAATGTATGTCAGAAGGTATAAATTGGATCATCTAGATCAATATAGTTGTGGATATATATGAAAGGAGGAATTATAAGTTGATGATAGCTGCATGTACATTCCAATGAATGGTAATAAAAGAAGAAAATTAAGCTTTTGGAAAAATCATACAAGTTCTGAATGAATGCAAACTAGGGGAAAGATTACTCTGCTAGATGACATGAATGGCTGGGTGGGAATGAGATGAAAGTATCGAAAAAATGATTGGGTCATTCGAAGACTGAAGAATGAATGAAAATAGTGACCTTGTCATGAGCATTTACTTAGGAAAAAAACTGGTTTGCTACAGTAGTTCCGTCAGTCTATTTATATGTACACATTGCAAAATAATTAATATAAATCTAGATGCATAATTTGTTTTACTTCTTATGATGGAAAGTTGACAGAATTAATGAAGGATCCCAAGATGATGTTTCTGAATGTGAGATTATTTCTTGACACTACCAAGAAATGGACATGGCAGAAAAGGAAAAAAGGAAAAGAAACTAAAATAAGAGAGAATGCCTGGAAGAAGAGAAAGTAATAGTCCTGACTTCTGTCTCCCAACAGAGTGAATAGAAAATGGAATATAAGGAAAGAAAACATAAAGGCTGTTTGACATAGGAAAGAATTAAGTCACGGAGTGACACAATAGTGTGCAGATGTGCATTACTGGGAAGAGTTGTGTTACAAAGTGCCATAGAAGTGTGTGGAGTCTTGTTAATGGAGAGTATGAAAAAATATTCTTGGGAGAAAGATGAAGAGGCTGGAAAATAGAAAAGAAATGCATATCAAAATGCTGCAAAAAATGAGAGGAAGTTATTGTTTAATGTATAACATACACATATCTATTAGAAATAATGTAGTCATAGAAAGCAAGGAACAGTTTAGATGAAAAGAAATAGAAAAAGCAGAGCAATTTGGATAGAAATAAAGAATTGTCTTGGATGAAGGATGAAAGAGCTTCCAGCACAGTGAATAGAAGTAAATACAAGTGATGAGATAATTTGGGGTGAGTCTGCAGTGAGGAAGCACTGGGAAGAATTTTTAGAGAATTGTATGGGAATGATAGTGATTTGCTGAGGAATGGATTTGAAACAATTGATATAAATGCTAGTTTCCAAGAAAAAAATGAAAAGGAAGTCATAAATGCTATGGGAATTTGGAAAAATAAGGTTGATTTGTTAAGTCTGGGAAGGTGTTTGCAGAATTCTAACT